CTCTTCTCATAACATGTCCGAAAAATGATGACTGTCTCCTTCTGATGTCTGTGATAAGTTGTCTTCGGGCTCCCGCCTCTTTCAAAACCTCTTGGTTGCTCTTTTTGGCTGTCCAATGTATTCTAAGCATTCGTCTGTAAAACCACATCTCAGAGGCCTCTAGAAATTGTTTGGCCTGCTTACCGATTGTCCAGGATTCACAACCATATATGCGTACCGCCTGATCAAAAAAAACCTGACTACACAATACATGCACAGATGGACCAGTAGGATTGCTTTCCGCTATCTCTCACTCCCTATATTTTCCTCATTCCTTCTCCTAACCCCCTTCTCTCTCTCCCTCTCTCTCTCTCTCACTCTCCCTCTCTCTCTTTCTTTCTTTCTCTCTCCCTCTCTCTCTTTCTTTCTTTCTCTCTCCCTCTCTCCCTCTTTTTCTCTCTTTCTCTTCAATTGTTTCAGAAAAAAAAAAAGACAATAATGTAACTGCCAGTGCCCAGGTGAGATCAAATGTTGACTAGACAGACCAGTCTAGTCCTGGACAGCACCTGACAGCAAAGGTGTACCGACTGAAAATAATATCTGGTCACATTTACATTTTATTTGTTATGACTTTGGACAGCTAGCTTCATTCTGGGACTTGATTCTGTGGATTTTAAAAGATAGGGAAAAGAACTCGATGTTTTGAAGATGTTGGCATCTGCGGACATGGAAGGGAAAATGCTCTATATGCTCTATATGCTCTAACCAGCAACTGGTTATTTCGGTAATGGAGTGTGGTCTGGGACTGCTAACATTATCACATACTCGATTAAAGAAGCTGAAATGCACACAAAATAAAGCGAACCATTTTGATGTGTACAGGCGAAATTTTTTTATTTAAAGACGCAACGGACCGGGAACACCTTCTGCATGGTGCTTTAGTCGATAGCATGGGACAACGGCTGAAAAGAGTTGACTCTTGGATAGCACAGGCAGAAGTCACGATTAAAACTGTTTGTGCTGCAACAGACATGTTTCGCATGGTGAAGAATGGGTTATAGTGCCGCCCATCAAAACAGACTTGCACAGAGAGATGGTTACCTTGGACCGAGGGCACCAGGAATTTATAGCTGGTGAAACAGAATCAGCGGTGCAAGAGCTAATAACGAAAATTCACGCCTAGGTGACGTTATTGTATATGTAGATGAGTTTGTAGTGAGAGTTAAGAAGGCTGAGTGGGGTTTTATTGCAAATGTGAATAGAGACTTCCTGAAACAGACAGCCTAGCGAGCACCCAGTATGAGAATGGAGGTGGAGGCAGTAATGGCAGCTTAACGATGGCTTGAGCATAGCACAGCCCGATATGTTGTTTTGTAACAGATTCACCGAGTATGCTTAGGAAAATTGAAACTGTTGTGCTGCGCGCAGAGTGGCTTGAATCGCTTGATAAGACTTAGATCTGTTATGGACGTTGTCCAGTATTTTCGGGTGTGCGAGGTAACAAGCGGGCTGATATCTTAGCTACTGTCGCTATTCTGGGCGACATATGATAACGCGAATACTCTGAAGGCTGTGTGGGATCAAATAGACAGTTGAAAAAAAAAAAAAAAGATGAATTCAAGGTGAAAGGTAGAGAAGGACTGTAAAGGTATTCAACATTGAAGGGGAAACAGAGATGGACTTTTAGTCAGGTTGCAACCGGTACTATTAGCATGACGGCTTTTCGTTAGCTACTGAAGAAGGAGACGGAGCACATATGGGAATGTCACGATTTCAGTTCTTGATTCGTTCAGTTCTTATGGATTTCTTTCATTTGTAATGTGTGCATGTATTCATTTTCTAGCTTTTGAGCATTCAATCTGTCTGTAGAATTATAACTATTCTGGGTACAACTTTCATAATTAACAGATAAACCCTTTTCTTCAAGTAACTGTAATAAAAAAAAAAATTAGAAAACAAACAGTTTCCTATACAGACATGAAGAAAAGAATTATTTGAAAGTTAAGGTTTTCAATTTAAATTAAGAATGATTTTTAAAGACTAAACATGTACCTGTGTAATAGATGTTGACGCAGGTGGGTGTCCTCCAGTCTGCCCACTGTGTGTTACAGAAATGGTTTAGCATTAATAGTAACGGAGATAGTATGAGCGTGTTAGTGTCTATAAGATTGGCGATACTCTCTCAGAATTCAAACTTATCCTCTTTGACCGTCGGCAATTCAGTGGCACGGTCACTCTTTAAACAGCATAAGCATCGGTAAAAATTTTTTAAAAACATTATTTTTTCTTCTTCTTCTTCTGTCGTTCGCCTGAAATAAGGTGTCTAATCAGCAATTTTGTCTCTTGCATAAATGTCACTGCCGTTATTAGTTCGTTCAGTGGTCCATAGAGTTTACTTTTCACTGTTTTTTTTTCGGGCCAAAAGGTTTGCCTTAATGTGTAAAATTCGGTGCAGTCCTGGAGTACATACTCTGTTGTCTGGGGCACCTTTCCACAGGTGCACATGGCTGATACGCCTATT